TCTTTACCGCTCACGCTCGGAAATATCCCTAAGTAGGTTTTTCAGGTATGTATTCTCTTTTACAGTCTAATTTATTACTATCAACAAATTTCTATCTTATATTCATTTAGGAATAGCTTTCTAGTAGAATCGCTTCGTCAATCGCGTGTGCCACAAGATGCGGATAGCCAATCCACTGATTTTCCCTTAGCGCCTAGGTATGGTTCGGTTGTCCACTCATTTCCCATTGTTATGTTTCTTGCTTAAACATCTAATCTCGCATTTATGTCGAGCGAGTTTTAGGTATCAACTCCGAACGTCTTTTTGGCCATTGACTATGAATCGCACTTATTCTCTTTGGAATAAATCTGAGACGAAAACGAAGTTGACTGAGCGATTGTCCAAAAGTCAAAGCATTCTTCTTCAAGTGAGTCATAAAAAGGAAATGCTCGTCATCAATACATACGGCAAAGTTTTTGTAGAAGTTGCTCGGAAACTCATGCGAACGTACGCCATCGTCATCAAAAACGCTAAGAAGGTCTAGTTCTACGTCATTTTCTGATGAATTGGTGCAGTTTAAATGTGTGGATAACGACCAGGTGGAACGTTATTTGAAATGATGAGGTGGTGAAAGATACAGTGCGATTTTACAGACCCCTATTTCTCAAACACCTTCGTCAGTGGCAGATGACCACCGATTTAGATCTCAAGTGGGGCTAAATGCAATTGCTGCGAACGACTTAGAAGGCGAAATGCGGAACTCAGACGTAAAGATTAACTTTGAAGGCACCTACAGAAAATATACGGATGAGTTGTCATTTGTGTTTGGTCGGCTTGGTATGGATCCACATCAAGGAAAAACTTTAAAAGATGCGCGAAAAATTGCCGAAGTTGCTGTGAAAGATGGTGAGTCACTACCAATATTGTAATATCTTGTAAAATTCGCAATCTTTAACAAAAATATGCTTCGCATGCTTTCATTCAAACAACATTTCAGATCTCGACGATGGGTCCGAAACTAGCACTTCGACTTTGCCTTATTCAAAGGACAGTCATGAGTTGAAAGTAAATAATAAGGTGGATGATGGACACCAAATCAAGGTGATCTCTATCATTTGCATACTTTGTAACCTTGCATGATTTTTTGAAATTTGTTATTTTAGCTTCAGTACAGAATATCCTCTTTCGATTTTGGACCGGTGGGATACAGCGGGCTGCTTTGTCTTGTAAAACAGCATAACAACCGCCAAAGGCTCGTTTTTGTTCCGGTTAGCGATTTAGTCAATTTTTGTATAAATCATTAATATTGTTTTATTAATGCTATTTTTGTAACGAAAGTGTTATGTGTTACCTTTCGTTTAGTTCATAGCCCCCGACGAAGGGTTTGCCACAAGACCTGAATTCACCAAAGTAATAAAAGAAACACGAGTGTGGGAGTCGTTTGACGTAAGCGAATTCAAGAAATTTGTCTTTCTCTGGACTACTTAGCTCTTTATTCCATATTGTAATCTGCATGAGATCTCATTTCTTTCAGTCAGTTCCCTATCACCTCTATCAGCTGATGAAACTACGCCTTTTCAATGGCATGGATAGGATAGACGATGAAAATCCCCTAATATGTCAGTTTCATTCTTTAAAAAAGCGTACTGCGACTTTCTGATACTTATCTTATTGCAGCTCTTTTCCACAGATTAGCAGAGCAGATTCCAACGAGATGGATGCAGTGGTTACTAAGTGCCTCTCGAAAACAGCAAACTTACAATGGTATTTTTGTAGTTGTTATATTTTGTCGGAATAATTTCTGGATGTGTTTGTTATCTTTATCTTATAGTTTTGCGGACATCAATTAGCTGAGCTCACCAAAATTAATGTCATTCCATTTGTCCTTTTCATAAAACTAACTCTATTGCAGTCATGCCATTTTTATTACAGGAATTAGCAATGCTAATGAGCTTGATAGTGTTAGCGACACTGATGAACTCTCTGGAAACGAGAGAAGTTCCATTGCTGGGTGTGATGAAGATAGCAAAAACACGTCAATAGATGTGAAAGGGTATGTAATATAGTAAGTCATTTCATGAAATTCTTGGAGTTAGATGGCTAATCTTTCCAGATTACCAGGTCTTCTTCAACTATGCTCCTTAGAATTGGAATCCGACGTCACCTGGCATGACTGTGACTCTTTTCATTTCACATTTGTCAAGGTAATTTGAGCCCTGCAACATGCTCTCTTCTGTACAGCTGATTTGGTATCCGCATCCTCGTTTTCTCCAAGATCTGCCCAACCATGCACAATCACTGAAGGGATTGAATCTCAGTTTTAGATTGCTCGATCACATATCCGACGGATGCTTTTGGCTCCGTTCTGTTTGCCTGTAAGTGAGGACCGCATAGTATCAGATGAAAAATTCGCAGCAAGCACTGACATACTACAACAAATGCCTGTGATATTTCTCTGCCTCATAAATGGAGACTCAATACGGTTTATTGAAGTTAGCTCACCATTTGTTTTGTCAATGGCCTAATCTGAGCTTTTCACTTCAGTACACATTATATCTTCGCCGCAAGCTCGGAAAGCCAGTATTTACTGATGATTCATGCTCGTTTCTGAATGCGTTTCATTTCTTCACGACAGTAGTATCGAGGTAATGACTCTGGGTTGAAATCACTTTATGCTTCCAAAGTTCTATGTTGCAAAGCATCGGTTTTTCATCTTGCACCGTGCTGTCGTGTTCAAATCTTCACAGTTCCATTGAACCATGACTTTAGATACGTAAACAGAATTTCTGATGCAGAAAACAAATCATCCCCAAAGTATGTTGCTAGGCGACTCCGCCTGGTGGACAAAATTCATGCTTTTGTGAAGGAACATGCTGGTATGCAAACATCATTGTGAGGTATTCCTATCATCTTTCAGCTTAAGCGCGATTCAGGGTCATCTACAATTAACCCTTTTATCATTCCAATGCTCCTGATTATACTCGGTGAACTTACTTCTACACATCCTGGAGATTTCACAAAAATTATTCTCAAGAACAAGGTAAATCACATGTGAGCTTTTCCTTCATGTTTTTGTTGCTTAACCTGTTCAGAAATTACCCCTTTCCTTGCGATTGGCTTGGTGTGTGAATCTTCTACCAACTAACAAAATGAAAGAAGCGATTTATTGCCTATATCAGCAGGTAGTCATGTATGAGTTCACTGTCATAAATCCACTCCAATGTTGTCAGTGTGGGTTTTGTGTTCATTAGATTCAGGTAAAAAGCCCTCACATTAAGTTTCTACTCATGCTAAATGTTCCTCGATCATGAAAATTAGGTAGTGATTTTCTGTACGCGAATTTGCTTAAATACAAGTACGCACTTTGCTATTGAACA